CGTCTGTACCAGGGCTTGACCTGCAAGCAGGATATCATCCTACCACAATTCTTCGGAATCCCAATCTGGGAAACACTTTCAGCATTGCCACTCCTAAACTGCGATACAATTGCAGCAGATCACTTTGAGTCAGCTTTAACTTGACAAGGTAACGCCAGCGACACTGTACAGCCTTTTCCTAAGGCTCACCCACCCTCCCCAGACGAGCAGAACATCAGCTCCGAGCGGCGGGACAGCCGGCCCTGGCACAGGGGACACCGCGCCTCAGGGGGCGGCTGTGGGCACGGGGCCCTGCGGGGACAGCGCAGCCCCGGGGCTNAACTTTATTCCCTCTGGCATGGTTTGAAGTGGCTTCACGACATCAAAGAGGATCACATCGACTCCCTTTTGATATATGGCACAACCTAAACTGAAACATGACAGAAACCCTGTGTTAGGATACAGCAGCATGGTGTATGAAACATCTCAGCTGGAAGGGAGAGAAAATTATTAACTGTTTTCATGCTGATTATTTTTCTGATGAGAGTCTGTTAAATACTCAGCCCCCTGCTATAGGGGAGATTCAGCTGTGATAGTTTAGGTACTAAGCTGATCTCTCACACTCCATCAATTTTTTTTTGGAGAAAAAAAAGAAAAAAGAGGCAGAACTGCTGTAAATTAAAATTCTGAAGAGAAATAACTGAAGTTCTGTCCCCTTCAGATCAGCAACAGCAACTTTCAGATGTGCAGCTATTGCCAAATAGTAAAAAAAACCCCAAAATCCCTTTACTTGTTTTATCTTACTGCTGTTGTGCCATCCCAGTTCTGTCAAAACAACAGGTTGGTCTGCACCGTTGTGTTTGAAATTTATAGAGAAGAGGAGTGGAAGAGATGCTTCTAAGCTGCTATGAATATTTTGCAACATGTCTACATTTTACTCCAAGTGACAGGTATCGACACAAAGCGTAACTCTGGTGTTTCTCTTCTTTCCTATATTTTTGTGTGTCTTTTGTGCTTTAAGGGCATAGAGTGAAGGGAAAAGCCAAGCAGAAGTCAGATAGGCATCTTCTGAGATTTTTTTTTTCCTTCCCATAAATTGAAATTTATTTTATTTTCTGGTCCTGACTGTGATCTCTCTCCCCTCTGTGAGCAGTTAGTCTTGGGCTCAAAACAGGATTTTTTTCTTTACATGACCTGTAGAGCCAGCGACAGCAAGGGAAAATGGATTTCACTGAAACGTGCACCTTATTAACAACTCTAATCCTAAACCATCACCGTCCACTGAAAAAATATATTCTCGAGCGTTCAGCTGGAGTAGTTAATCTGCAGAGCTAAGCACACGTGTAACTATTTGCAGGTCAAAAGGAAAATGTGTGTACCAGTGACCGCTTGTCCTTCAGAGCAGGCTGTCGGTGGTGACCATACCCCTCTAGGGAGGTGAGCACACAGGTAAAGGTCTGCGAGGCAGCTGATGCCGGACATTTGGAAACGGGACACCAGCGTTACTTACAGCCTCTGGAAACTGCTTGTTTAAAAAG